AGTTCCCCAAAAATTCAACAACCTCACGCCTCTCCGGGTGGTATGCATCGGGCAGCAACGCACGCTTTGGAATCAGACCTGCGAACTCTTTACCGGACCAAGTGCCGGTAGCTGCATCAAATCTGTGCCGAAAAGGGAACCTGTAGCCTACCTCCTCCTCCAACATGTCAAAACAATTACTTGCTGCGCGCGAAAATTTCGATGAGGACAATACATGTGCGCCAACCTGTGCGGCATGCAATGCACAGAATTGCCGAGGCTTGCCAGTAGCATCTGGGTAATTCGCGCCCTTTCCGCACACAAGGCACCTCAAACTTACAATGTTTTCCATCCCCTCCTCTTTGCAGTTGGTACAGCAAGTTGCCCGAGCATCACCTGGCATCCCGAAAGAAGGTTGGGCTCTGCCACACCTGCATTTGAGGTTCTTTATGTCCACCATCCCATCCTCTTTGCAGTTGGCACAGCAAGTTGCCCGAGCGTCGCCTGGCATCCCGAAATACGGTCTGGCTCTGCCACACCTGCATTTGGGGCTCTTGATGTCCATCATCCCATCCTCTTTGCAGTTGGCACAGCAAGTTGCCCGAGCGTCGCCTGGCATCCCGAAATGCGGTATGGCCCTGCCACACCTGCATTTGGGGCTCTTGATGTTCACCATCCCATCCTCTTTGCATTTGGCACAGCAAGTCGCCCGGGCATCACCTGACTTCCCGAAGTGTGGTCTGGCTCTGCCACACCTGCATTTGGGGTTCTTGATGTCCATCATCCCATCCTCTTTGCAGTTGGCGCAGCAAGTTGCCCGAGCATCACCCGGCATCCCGAAATATGGTATGGCTCTGCCACACCTGCATTTGGGGTTCCTGATGTCGACCATACCATCCCTTTTGCAAACGGCACAGCAAGATGGTCGTGCATCATGCTGAAATCCAAGAGACGGGTGGAGCACACGTCCACACACACAGGAGCCAAACCGCCCTGCCTTTGCGCCAATGTTCGGTTTTCTATACACCAGGCTAGTATCGACAAAGAAGCTGTCGGGCGTGCTGCGCTTGCCGTGGTCGCACACTCCTCACAAAACATGAGGGAGCAGCAACCAGCACGCAGCCCAGCCATCTGCAACCAGCACCAGAAACAGCAGCTTATTGACCCATTGGGAGGCTCGAAGAATGAAGCATCATTCCCTTGTGGCTTCCTTTCGGGAAACAAGTATTTCTGGGTCATCTCACACTCTCCTCCGCACTGCCCCCGGACACCGCCCAGCGCCAGCCCCGCAAAATGGCGGCCCACTGGACATGGCAGTGGCGCCTGGCAGCTGAGATGGCGTGCGAATGACTTGGCATCAGCTCGGCTGATTATCGAACGAACAATACTTGAAGAGATCTCGGTGCTCGAGGATTGAAGCTCGAGAATGGAAAATATGGGGCGGCACGCATGCTGGACCTCCCTCCAGCGTGCCTGGGCCAGGGCCACGCGGCGCAAGCCCCGCCAAGCCATGGGCCCCGCAACTCGCACGCTGGGCAGGTGAAAACGCACCACCTGGAGAGTCCTTTTTGGAGAAACTAAATGCTGAAGATGCCGAAGAGGTGCGGAAGCCCTCTCCACTAAAATGAAACCTGAAAGAGTATCTGAAGGAAATCTGTCAGCTTTCGTGATAGTGGATATGCGGATATCCATCTCCTTGTGATTTCCTGTGCCAATGAGAAACTTGTGATATTTAAGGCTGTATTGTCGAAACCAGCGAATTGGGGGGCCACAGTTAGAGTAGCAATCATGTGACCCAACATAGCCATGGGTTCATTGTAACATACATATAAATAAGTACAATTGTCCACATAATTATGGCTGTAACTACAACTACATCTAAAAACACATGTACGTACAAATCTGCATATGCGTGTATGTATATATATACATATATATCTCGGATTTATATTCATGTATGCATTTATGGTGTATATTCATGCATTTTGAATGAATGTGGGAGGGGGCGGATACATCTCCAGCAACGCCAAACACCCAGCTTCCTCTGCTTCAAAGAATGCAAGGGAGTCGTTGAAGCAATTTACTGCCACCAAGCAGGCGCCTTTGGAAGCCCAGGTTCGTTTCCACACAATCTAAGGCCCATTCTTCGGCTCTCTATCAGATGCGGTGCCTTGCTTGCCAGGGTTGTCATTCCGGTTTCCAGATTTGACACGTAGGATTTCTTCAGTTCCCAAGGGAAGTTGGTTGTAGGGACCCAAGGCTAAAGGTATCACGGAACGACCTTCTAGCACAATTCCCGCTTGGTTGCTGAAAAGCACCCGCACTAGTCGCGCTGTTTAATTCTATTTCTCCAACTTGCCTGCAAACTCATTAGTTGTCTGCGCGCCGTCGAGAAGTGCAAAGGGCAAGTGCACTTTAACGTGGTCTTCTGCATCCCTGCATCGAAAACTCCCACAACCAAAGAAACAGAGGTCCCTAGAGGTAGACGCTTCTTTTCGGCCCATGGGCTTTGGCTCATGGCTGCGCAGCAGGCTGGTGATAGGCCCAGCCTCCCCAGAGGCGGCCTGAGGCTCAGGGGCAGCGGGAACTGCGCAGGAACTGAAACCAGGTTCTGGCAACGGAAAAGAAGGTTCCCGTAAGGGAAACTGTGGCCAAGGAAGACGCAAACGGTTTCTTCGGCCAGGCTTCTCTGACATGCTGAGTCAACTTAGAGTCATGAAAACCAGTGCTATGTCCAAGGAAGCGCTGACGATTGGCAAATCCGCAGTGGGAACTTCAAGAAGACCCAGCCCCGCTTCTGCCGAGACGCTCGCTTCCGCCACTCCACGAACTCGTGCTCCCAAATGTAGAAGACGCGCAGCCCCTCCGCAGTGAACAGATCGAGGCGTTCCATGGTGTCGCGATAGACGTACGGCGCCGGTTTGCTGCCCACGCAAATGAAGCTGCTATGCCTTGAACGAGTTGCGAGCTACCTTTGAGCATGTACTTGCACTTTGGGTGGCAAAACGACACACAATGAAGCTGCGATATGTGCTACCAAGTAGCCGTGGATGCTCCACGGGAAAGCCATGGTAGTAGTTCCCCAGAAATTCAACCACCTCACGCCTCTCTGGGTGGTATGCATCGGGCAGCAACGCACGCTTTGGAATCAGACCTGCGAACTCTTTACCGGACCAAGTGCCGGTAGCTGCATCAAATCTGTGCCGAAAAGGGAACCTGTAGCCTACCTCCTCCTCCAACATGTCAAAACAATTACTTGCTGCGCGCGAAAAGTTCGATGAGGACAATACATGTGCGCCAACCTCTGCCGCATGCACTGCACAGAATTGCCGAGGTTTACCAGTAGCATCTGGATAATTTGCAAACTTTCCGCACACAAGGCACCTCAAACTTACAATGTTTTCCATTCCATCCTCTCGGCAGTTGGCACAACAAGTTGCCCGAGCATCACCTGGGATTCCGAAGTAAGGTTGGGCTTTGCCACACCTGCATGAGGGGCTCTTGATGTTCACCATCCCGTCCTCTCTGCACTTGGCACAGCAAGTTGCCCGAGCGTCGCCTGGCATCCCGAAAGATGGTCTGGCCCTGCCACATCTGCATTTGGGGTTCTTGATGTCAACCATCCCATGCTCTTTGCAGTTGGCACAGCAAGTTGCCCGAGCATCACCTGGCATCCCAAAAGAAGGTCTGGCCCTGCCACACCTGCATTTGGGGCTCCTGATGTTCACCATCCCATCCTCTTTGCAGTTGGCACAGCAAGTGGCCCGAGCATCACCTGGCATCCCAAAAGAAGGTCTGGCCCTGCCACACCTGCATTTGGGGCTCCTGATGTTCACCATCCCATCCTCTTTGCAGTTGGCACAGCAAGTGGCCCGAGCATCACCTGGCATCCCAAAAGAAGGTCTGGCCCTGCCACACCTGCATTTGGGGCTCCTGATGTTCACCATCCCATCCTCTTTGCAGTTGGCACAGCAAGTGGCCCGAGCATCACCTGGCATCCCAAAAGAAGGTCTGGCCCTGCCACACCTGCATTTGGGGCTCCTGATGTTCACCATCCCATCCTCTTTGCAGTTGGCACAGCAAGTTGCCCGAGCATCACCTGGCATCCCGAAAACAGGTATGCATCTGCCACACCTGCATTTGGCGTTCCTGAAGTCGACCATTCCATCCCCTTTGCAGCTTGCACAGCAAGATGGTCCTGCGTTATGCTGAAATTCAAAAGATGGGTGGAGCACGCGTCCGCAAACACAGGTGCCAGACCGCCCTACAAGTGTGCCAATGTTCGGCTTTCTGTACGCCGGGCTAGTATTGGCAAAGAAACTGTCGGCCGTGCAGTGGTTGCTCTCTCCTGGAACAGCAACCAGCATGCAGTCTAGGCAGCCACAACCAGGGCGACCGATTAACCCGTGGAGGCTGGAAGAATGCAACATCCATTTTTCTTGTGGCTGCCTTTCGGGAAACAAGTATTTCAGGGTCATCTCACACTCTCCTCCGCACTGCTTCCGGACACTGCCCAGCACCAGCCCTGCGACATGGCGGCCCACGGGACATGGCAGCGGGGCCTGGCAGCTGCGCATGGCATGCGATTGGCTTGCATTGCCCTGGTGCATGCGCTCGGAAGCCCTCATCCAAAACATGAGGTCTGGATGGATCCGGCCAATTCCCAAAGCAAGGAACTGACTTCTTGAATCTTCTCGGATGGACAAACCCCAGACCTCATCGGAAAACCGCGGCGCGCTGGGTGCGGACGGAAGGCCACACCCTGCCCCCTGCGCGCCTGGGAAAGGGCCGCGCGGCGCAAGCCCCGCACAGCCATGGCACCCCCGGCCATTCGCACGCTGGGCCGGGTGAACCACAGAAAGAGACGTGACCGATGACGGGACAGCCAGGTGACGCGTAGGAAAAGGGGGGTTTGGTGAAAGCTCGGCACCTGGAGAATAGTCGTTCTGGCGAAAGTGAATGCTGAAGATCTAAAAGAGGTTCAGGAGCCCTTCTACGCACTAAACAAAAAGGAGGAAAGAGTATCTGAAGGAAACCAGTGAGCTTCCGTCACAGTAGGCGAATAGCCATCCCCTTGCGGCTTCCTTAGCACCAATCCTGCTTTGAGTAGCAATTAACCAATATCAACGGCCTTGTCGGTACTCTCAATGGCCTATTGTCGAAACCAGCGAATCAAGGGTGCCATCAGGTAGTGTAGCAGGTTGGATTGTACATGGGGGACTTCACCATGTTAGGCAATCATGTGACCCAACATTGGCATGAATTCATTGGAACATACATATAAATACGTACAATTATCAACATGATTATGGCTGTAATTACAACTACAAGTAAAACATGTACGTATAAACAGGCATATATATATATATATACATTCATATATAGATGGCTTTATATTCATGTATGCATCCATGGCGTATATTCATGCATTTTGTACGAATGTGAGAGGGGGGATACATCTCCAACAACGCCAAACACCCAGCTTCCTCTGCCTCAAAGAATGCAAGGGAGTCTTTGAATCAGTTTACTACCACGAAGCAAACAACGCAAGAGGTGTCGCTGCAAGCGCCTTTGGAAGCCCGGGTTCGTGCCAATGCCTTGGCTCCTATCAGATTCGGGCGCCTTGCTCGCCAAGTCCCAAACATAAAGTGAAAAAGTGAATTTGCCAAGGCCTTCCAGTGGTATCAGGGAACGACCTGCCAGCGCAGTTTGCCCACACCCCGGGGCCAAAAAGCATTCCCTTTGAGAAAGAATAAGAAAATTCCCACCACCAAAGAAACAGAGTAACAGAGGGTGTCACTAACTGGACCACAGGGTCCCCAGAGGCGCAGGCTTCTTTTATGCCCAGCTTTGGCTCATGGCGGCGCAGGCTGGTGATAGGCCCAGCCTCCCCAGCGGCAGGCTTGGGCAGGCGGACAAACTGGCAACACATGCGACGGTTCCCAGCAAGAAACTAGCCGCCATCGGTTTCTTCAGCCATGTTTCTCTGACACGCTGCACTAATTTAGAGTCATGTAAACTTTGGTATTGGTACAAGGAAGCACTGCAGTTTGGCAAGTTCGGAATTGGAATCGCTTCAGGAAAGCTCAACCCAGGTTCTGCCAAGACGCTCGCTTCCGCCACTCAACGAACTCGTGCTCCCAAATGTAAAAGACGCGCAGCCCCTCCGCAGTGAACAGATCGAGGCGTTCCATGGTGTCACGATAGACGTCCGGCGCCGGTTTGCTGCCCACGCAAATGAAGCTGCTATACCTTGAACGAGTCTGGTGACAAAAAACTGGTTGGTAAGCTGGCTACCTTTGAGCATGCACTTGCACTTTGGGTGGCACAAAGACACACCATGAAGCTGCAATATGTGCTACCAAGTAGCCGTGGATGCTCCACAGGAAAGCCGTGGTAGTAGTTCCCCAGAAATTCAACCACCTCACGCCTCTCCGGGTGGTATGCATCGGGCAGCAACGCACGCTTTGGAATCAGACCTGCGAACTCTTTGCCGGACCAGGTGCCGGTAGCTGCATCAGATCTGTGCCGAAAAGTGAACCTGTAGCCTACCTCCTCCTCCAACATGTCAAAACAATCGCTTGCTGCCCGCGAAAAGTTTGATGAGGACAATACGTGTGCGCCAACCTCTGCCGCATGACTGCACAGAATTGCCGAGGTTTGCCAGTAGCATCTGGATAATTTGCGTGCTTTCCGCACACAAGGCACCTCAAGCTTACAATGTTTTCCATTCCATCCTCTTTGCACTTGGCACAGCAAGTTGCCCGAGCATCACACGGCATCCCGAAATGCGGTCTGGCTGCGCCACACCTGCATCTGCGGCTCTTGATGTCGACCATCCCATCCTCTCTGCACTTGGCACAGCAAGTTGCCCGAGCATCTTCGCAGCCCACGAAGTGCGCGCGGCAAACAGGGTTCCGGTGGAAGGATTCATCCAACCACCTGTTTTACAAAGGGTTCCTCTGAATCAGCTGGTAAGGATGACTTGTTGGCCCAAATGTATTCTTCAAGGGACTGCGTCAAAGACCAGCTACTTGTACTGAGAAAATCACAAATTCACTTCGCGTGTTTGCTGACCAACTCACTCGCTGGCTGACCAGCCCTCAAACAGCCAAACAACCGGCCAATGAAACCACCGCCCGCTTCGCCAAACAATCAAGCAAACACAACTGACCAGTGTCTTCTTGATCAGCTCCCCGTCTAAGCGAAACACAGACAGAACTGCCTCAGATTTCCTCCAGGCTTAAATCCAAAAGCTACTCCCCAAGAGACTAGTGAATATACCAACATGTCCCATTCCAAATACTGGATCAATATTGAGACATAACTGTGGATTCAATGATCAGTTAGTGGGCCCAGGAATGGAGCTTTTCGTCAGAAGAGTTCCCGGTGATACCTATCCAACAAGGCACCCAGCCGCAAACAAGTGCCCTTTCGATGGTTTTCCCTAAGCAAGCAATGTGAATTGATGCACCGGGGCATGCACTTGCCCAAAGCCCATTGTGTCAAAGGGAGGAAGTGACCCAAAAAATGTGAGAGGTTCCCTCGACCAAAACACACACACACACACACAAGAGCACTATGTTCAGATTCCGACTAATTGGTGTTTTGGATTGGTGGTTTGGAGGTTGAGTGGTTTCCCATTCAAGTACCCACTAGAGCCAGGAGTTCAAATCCAAACTACAAATTCAGGGCCATGTTGCACGATCAAGACTCCTTATATGCCTATGGTCATGGTTCCCGCAGGAATCAGTGTGATGGTTCCCAGGTTCATGACCATCCCTGCGCCCAAGTAAAGCGGTCTTTTGACCTCGTGGATTGATGTAACTGGACAAACACCTGACCGTATCAGCTGGGTCGGGGGGACGACGGAGCCCAGGAGCGGCCTATGGCATGAAACCAAAACCAGCGGAACCCCTCGATTTCATCGTCCAAACCTATCAAAAGGACTATGGGTTCTTCAGCCACAAGAAACATGCCTGAACTACCAAGAAACTATACGCTCACCACACTCGCCTGTGCGAACCAAGAATGCTAATGCTGACCCCCGATTCATAAACCAACTCCCCCCTTTTTAAGGTGGCTCCCTTCTTACTGGCGGACCCCCCACTCTCTTCCAGGAGAAGAAGAAAAAAAAGGAAAACAAAAAAAACACCTCACTCAGAACTGCGGGACCCGTTCAATCCACCAGATTCCTAGGCTTGAGTTTCGGTCAAATCCCTGAAGTGCCTAGGTTCGCCTTCTTGCGAGTCCATGGCTCATGGCCAAAACTTACGGCTCCAAACTCAGCGGATTTCCAGACCCGGTTTTCCCGGGGGGAAAAAAACACTCGCCAGAATCCATAAGAATTCGACCCAGGTGCTCCCTCAAAACCCAGTCCAAGGAAAGTCAGCGGAGGCTCTTTGGGGGGAAGACCTGGGTCGAATTCCCATGGATTTGGGTGTGTTTTGGGGGGAAGCCTAGCAAGGAATCAGGTTTCCATGGATTGGACTGGATTGGTCCAAACCCCGCCTCCCAGAGCTGCCGCGCCGCGGCGCGCTGCACCTCCGCCTCCCTGGCCTCCAAACAAACCCGCGGGTGGCTGAGTTTCGGGAAGGAGGCGCGGAAATGCGTGTCCGCGGTTTTCCAAAAAATGTGCGGTTTCCCCGCGGTTTTCCAAAAAAATGTGGTTTTCCGCGGTTGTCCGCAAAAAATTGTGGTTTCCCCGCGGTTTGTCCCAAAGAAGGAACAGTGGGTTCTGGAAGATTCCGGAAAATGAGTGTTTGTTGTACCAAAACTTAGAAGAGTGGGGTCTGGAAAAGCGACCACCAATCTGGGGTTCTTGGAAAATAGGTGTGCCTTAAAGAGGGGAAGACGTTCTGACAAATAGAGAACGTTGCTTTGGATATCCTTTTTCACATGGGCACGAAAGGACACAAGTGGGTACCCTCCATGGAACATGGTAGACCAAAAAATGAAATGGACGCTTTGGTAAGTTCCGTGGTGGACGGAAGGGCACGTCTTTTTGGGCAATTATAAAAGAAAGACTGCCATGCTATGTGTTTTCTGGGTGAGGGGGATCACTTTGACGCAAACACACCCCAATTCATCCGACAGATGTAGAAAAGTATGAGGTGCACATGATGTGTCTGGGTATTCTCTTGCTGGCACTCAGTAGGGAATGAGGAAATGAACATGGGGATTCCCTTAAAGGAAACCACCACAAGTTGGATGGTTTTTCTTGGGGTCATTCCAACTCATTTTCTGCTGAGCACCAGCAAGTTTTTTGGAGGGACACCACATGGACAACTCGCCCCGTCCCCGTTCAGAGACCCCAACCTGGTTGTGGCCCTCTTCATCCAAAGCGCTCAACACCCATCGACTTGTTCATTCCAGTCAAGCGCATATAAGCCCATGTAATTCGCTCATAGAATTACAGTGCCCAAAACCCCATCAGTCTCTATCATGGCTTACATGGGCGCCTGCTGCATCCCCAGTAATCCCCAGGCACCACCTATGGCTGGGAAGTTTTTTCGGCGCTCTAACGGACCACGGTCCCTCGAGACGTGCCTTCAGCTGGTTCTCCGAGGGCGGCCTCGGAATTTGGAATCAGGGAACGGTTTGACCCAACCGGTTGGGTAACTTGGGCGGTAACATGGCAGGGAACTCAAAGAGGATCCAACAAAACCCGTGAAAAAATCCAATAAGAATGGGGTTGCCCCAAAATTGTGGGGTGAAATCCCTTTGCTATGGGTATTTTGAAAACGGTAATTTGACCATCCGAAGGACCTCCAGTGTGGTTTGGGAAGGGCCCCTCCCCAAAACTTCTTATTAAAAATAAGGGAACCCTCAAATTCAAATCAGGCAACTGCATGAATGAATTACAAGGGAGGCACAGTTGCTTCAGGCACCTCCTTGCGGAGGAAATTCCGTGGGCAAGGCAGCACCTGCTTCCTCTTGCACTTGCTCTTTCAGCGGGACACACTCTGAGAAACTTGCTTCTGCGTCCCCATAAATGTCTGATTTATTGTTTTTACTATTCCCTCTTCTTCTTCTTTTTTTTTTGGGGGGGGGGGGCCGCTTGACCAGTTCTGCAGTCAGAGTTTTTGAGACCAGACCTGTCTTCTGGGGGCTGTAGCTTGCAGAGCTGGATATACCCAGCTGTAGGTGAGTCGTTTTTGGTTTTTGTTGCTGGGTGTACCGAGCCTCCGTTCGACCAGTTGACCGAGCCTCCAAAAACCGACCGCTCGGCTGCCTGGAGCGAGTCAGCTCGGGCCCCCGGGCTTCGGGGCCTGCCTCGGCTGCGAGCCTCGCAGCTCGCGCCCGCGGAGCTCGGGGCCGCTTCTTTTTTGGCCGGAGACGCCGAGTCCCCTGATTTTTTGTTGGGCCCAACTTCTCTGGCTTGAAATTTGGACAGGCTACGTTTCGCAGGAGATGCTTCTGGGGATTTTTTTTTGGAAGTGCGTTTCGCATGGGGGAGATGGGATCCATGAGCCCAGATGGGAAAGCAAATGGACATGTTTGCATCCAAACCAAAAGATATGAGTGCTGACTCCGTGCCACACGCGCCTCGCCGCCGGAGCGAGGGTGGTGCTTTGCGCTGGCCTGGCAAGTCGAGTGCGCTCATGCTACGCAGAACTACAGTCTCTCTCGTTTCACTTTGAGCACTTGACCACGACACTTCCGGACTACACATGCTGTGACTGCCCTGTCACTTTGCTGCTGGTTTGGACGCCTAGTGCATATGAACTTGAAATCTGGTTTCTCCTGAACTCTCTTGTGGCGGGGCTGACCGAAATGTACGCCCAGAATGGAAGGGAGCCAGGATCATCACAGAGAATGCACCCTTCCAGAAAAACAACACCGTCTCATCATGGGCAGACGTGTTTTCCGCCTTACTAGGTCCGATTGGTTTGCTCATGCTGGCCTTTTTTTGTTTGGGCTGGCAACATCCTAAACATCTGGACCATTGGCCGCATGAGCATCTCCAGCATCTCCAGCCTTTGGGGCTGCATACTGACTCTGATTTGGTGACAGTTGAGAGTTGCTCGGGGCTTCTCTGGTGTGGGTTCTAGGCTGGCTTAGATCTTTTTGAGGGGTTGGCTTGGCTGATTTGTGCCAGGTGTGTGGCTGGTTTAGCAGGGGCTTTAGAGTTCCTTCAGAAGGCAGTGGTGTTGCGGCGTTGCCCCAAAACCACTAAAATGAGCCCAAACTGCCTCAGACCCCGAAAATGCATTGGACCTTCTCCCCACATGTGGCTTTTCAGTCTCCTGTTTGGTTGCTGGAAAAGCCAAGCAAGCAAGGCTCCTTTCCTAACAAACCCGAACATCAGAGATTGTCCCGCGTTTTTTGCCCTTAAAATCCACCCACCAAAAAACAACGCAAAAAAACACGCGCGCACACATCAAAAAAAAACTCCACAAAAACGGGCTGACACACACCACACACACCCATCCGCTCCATCGACCCATCGGCGCAATTCCTCTAGGTGGCGACCTTCCATTTCCATTCATAGGTAGATGGCCCTGGTAGATGATAAACCACCAGGTAAACCAGGGCCATCTATTTTTCTAGCAAAACATCCAAAAAGGACACCTATGTTTCCATTCTAAACCCAGGGATCCGATTCCAGAAAACCTCCAGACACCCAGGTTGAAAACGGCTCCGGGGTTTTGAGAAGAACGATTGAAAGGCGTGGGCAAGGACTCAACCCCTAGACTGGTGGTTTCCCTTCAGATGTGCCCATGGGCAAGAAATTCCCTTACTTACCCCTTAAAACTCCAAGCCCTGGGGAAGATAATCTTTTACAGACATATAGCCCATGTTGCCCCCAAAAAGTTGAGAAAAGTTGTGCCTTTTTCAGAGGTAAGCTTAGGGATGTTGCGGTAGATGGATCACATCAACCATTTCGGCTCCATGCCTTCGTTCTCCATCTCTAGAGCCTGAGCTCCGAATTCCATGCGGAGCGGTGCGCCGGATGCCCCTGGGAAAAGAAGAGAAAAAAATGACTCCGGCAACAGCTTGGTGGCTGGAAGGGCACCTCTGCAAAAAGGCTGAACTGGTTTTGTGGGTTGAGTGGGAAAAGTACCCTTCGTTTCAACCAAAATGGGAAAGTCTGAAGATCCAGTCAAGACAAATGCGCCGGATTCTGGTGACATCTGGACATGGGTGAAGAGAAGGGGGATAAAGCCCTGATGGACAACGAATGTTTCTGGACATGGGTGAAGAGAAGGGGGGGAATCAACCCTGATGGAAAAAAAACACAAAGATGATCTGAAACGGTGCTTGGAAGGGGGAAGCGGTCTCTGTTCCCACGGATGGAAGGCAGAGGCGTGCAAGACAACACTTCTGAAGAGCTCGCCCAGACAACTGAAGAGCCGACCCGGACGCTTATGGCTTCTGACTCCTATCCACTTTCTTTTGGGGATGCCAACTCCTGGCTAAACAGAGGCATTTGCCTTTGAAGACCATATCTTTGAGTGTATCTCCGAAACGAAGCGGTTGCGTGGAGGAGGGGGTCTGCACCCTCAACCCAAAGCCATGATAAAACTTAGCAAAGCAATAGGCAGAAAACCCCACTTTTGAGGTGAATCAAATCACAGCCACTGTCGTCAGCATTTGGGATACTGTCAGCCGAAACCCGTCCCATAGCAGGGCTCGAAACTGCCATCGATCCCCGTGAGAAAAAGGAAAGCCATCGACCAAGTTGGCGTGAAAAGCCGCATCTCGCAGGGTTCATGAACAGTTCCCCTCGCCTCTCGCACACACGGCTCATCCTCGCCCTTTTCACCGGAACCCGCGCATCGAAAGCTGCCGAGACACGAGGCGCACCACATAGCGGCCAAGGTAGTGGTGCCGACCTGGGCCCCGCGTGTTTTTGACTGGCCACAAAGACCCCTCCTTGAAACCAGAGGTGGGCCAAGGCCTTGTTCAACAAGAGGAAAATGGTTTCAACATGTTGCAAGCGCCAAGTGTTCAAACATCTTTCTTTTGGTTTCCCCTTCCATGGCCAGTGGTTGTGTCAGCCAACAAAATGCCCAGTCCTTGACACCCCGAGGCCCAGCACAAAAACACCCTCACCGAGACAGGTGGTTGCTTCTGGAGCGATCCATGGATCAGAAGAGGCGCAGAAGGTTCCTCCCGAACCGCAAGCCCCAAGGCTCGCTGGACCTCTCAGGGAAAATGGGGGGTCAAGAGCCCAGGTTCGAACCAAAGGTTGCGAACTTGGAGCCACAAGGGCCAACAGGAGCCCCAGCAGAGATCAAGACAATCCGGCCTTCCCTCCCGGTTCCCAGACCTTTCCACACATTTGCTCCAAATCTTGAGATGAGTTTGGAGCCAAGTTTCCCGGCGCGACAGTGTGACGAGCAAAATGAACACATGCGAAATTCTGCCTCCCGGCTCACGACACCTCTTCACGACCTGCGGGTGGTTCGTTTCTTCGACAAGCCGCACAAAACACCCTGTAGCCAAAGAGAAACCCGAGAAACCAAACAAAAAATCGTGGCCTCCTCTCCTCCTCTCCTCCCCTCCCCCTCTCTCCTCCCTCCCCCTCCTCCTCTCCTCCTCTCCTCCTCTCCTCCCCTCCCCTCCCCCTCTCTCCTCGCCTCCATCCGCTCCCCTCCCCTCTCCTCCGCTCCCCTCCCCTCTCCTCTCCTCCTCTCCCACTTCATCCGAGGGCTCCGGGCAGTACACCGCGCGCAGCAAGATCCCCGCGAGCGCCGGGCTCAGCAGGTCCCTCGCGCCTTTCAGGGGTCCACCCTTGCCCTCGCCGGTCCCCCGGTTGCTGCGCTCCAAGTGGTTGGGTGTGTCGTTCTTTTGGGGGCCCAAAATTGTGGCCTGCCTTTTGGTGATTCAATTGGTGGTTTGGAGCCCGGTGGTTCGGTTCGGTGTTCCGGGCTTGGTTTGGTTTGAGTGATCAGCCAGCAGGGAAGACCACACACCTGTCATGAGGATCCTGGAGCTCTTTCCAGCAGTCGATGGTGACTTTGGGACGTACACTTTTGTCGACTCTCTGACAGCAAAAAAATCACCGCAGCATATTCTTTCTTTTTGCTGGGTATATGCTTGTCTTGTCCGGGGAGGGGCCACCAGTCTTTGGCTTTTTATGTTTAACCCCCCCAAAGTCAACGCTTCAAGGAGGGGCCGCCAGTCAGGTACCCCAACCCCCGGTTCTGGGGAGCAAATGGGAGCCCCGCATCCCCGGAACACAAACCAAACGCTCCAACCCACCGGGCTCCAAACCAATTGGAGGGAAGCTGGTGATTTTTTGAATGGTTGCCTTTTTGGGGTGGAAGGGAAACCTGGACTGAGTTCGCCCAGAGTCCATGGAAAAATGAGCAAATAGCACTCCCAAGATGCGCCAAAAGCTCCTTGTTGAAGGAGAAGGACCGACAGAGAGTCAGGAAGAGAGCATGACAAGACAAGAGCTGCTGCACACAACTTCATGGTAGCCAATCTGCTCAGGGAGGTTGCTTTCAAGCGCAGCACATGTAAAGCAAGGAGCTTGAATATTTCGGCCGTCAGTCCCGCGCCTGCCAGCACCTTCGCCGGCGGCGAAACGCTTGCCGAGGGGCGCCTTGGAGCGCCGAGCTTGGGGGGGACAGGTGAGTTGAGTCAACAAAACCTGGGGTAAAGCTCATGCTGACCCCATATTCATAGGGGGTGGGGGACGCCTGGGGCGCCAAGTGGTCTGATTCCCCACTAAACCCAGGGAGAAGCAACCCCCCAAAGAAAAACTGGGGTTGATGCATATGGGGTCAACATTAACAACCTGTCAGCCGGCCAAAAAGGTGTCCCTTTCTTTGGAACGCTCCCATGTCAGGAAGATCTACCCCAAAGAACATGTGCAGAATCAAACCGGCCGGAGATCCGCGCCAATTCGTCTGGATGCATCCAGGGTCTGGTCTTGGTCTGGCCCAACCCTGGACCCCGCAACCGTCATAGCCCGAGGATGCTCATGTGTGGGGTGCTGGCAGAAAGGGTGAAGGACTAGTTTTGGCCTAGAAGTTGAAAGGCGGCAAAGACACCAAGGCTCCAAATGTGGTCAAAAAGAATTGCCCCCTTTGAAAGGCCCCCTTTTTTAAAGGCGGGAACATGAACCATGGCCCAAAAAGGAGGCCACTCATTTTTGGGAACCCATGGTGACAGACGGCTTGCCTCTCTGTGACTGAGGTCCAGGCCCCACGGTCTTCTGGGTGACGCTTCGGGGAATGCCTCGCAAGGGCGTTCCCAAAAAGCTCGCCCCCGGCTCGACGTGCACAAGGGCGTGGTCTGTAAAAACCAACAGCCCACTTCTAGTAGGTACACATATCTATATATATATATATGCAGTATATTACGATACATATATCTATATATATATGTATAAGGAAATTGTAATGAGTCTGAATGGGAAACCTCCTCAATAGGGGTTGGTGGACAGAAATCCCCGGCTAAATGATGTCCACCAAAGATTGCCAGTTGAAATTCACCCACCAGATCGGGGCAAAAGAAGAGTGCGTCGGTCAAAACCAACAACCCAATTCTGGTATTGTATATATATATATATATATACATATATGTATAGCTTCCTGGAAATCTGTTCTTTCTGCTGGTCTTGAAGAAGGGGGTGCTTCAGACATGGACACAAAGGTCCCGGATTTGCCAGCGCCTCAACGCCGCGGGTCCTTCAAAGAAAATCCGAAGACTGCGTGAAGCATCACCAAGACCCTGGCAAGCCTTTGCCATTTCAGGTCCCCAGGAAGCCCGCTTCTATCGCTCCCCAAAGGAACAACGGCTCCAGGTGACAACTCAAGGTTCCCAACCTGACTCACCGGGCCAAAGGAACCTTTGCTTTATGGTGGGCTTCCCTGGCGGTGGCCCTTTGAAACATCACCCATGCCTAGCTTCAAGGGGTGTCCTAGCACCCGTTGATCTTCTGAAACAGCTGCGGCTAGGCTCGAGAACCGCAAGGCCAAAAGAAGACAAACAACAAACCGGCAGACATATAGACACACAGGCAGACAGACAGAAAGACAGACAACAGACAAGCAAGCAAGCAAGCAAGCAAGCAAGCAAGCAAGCAAGCAAGCAAGCAAGCAAGCAAGCAAGCAAGCAAGCAAGCAAGCAAGCAAGCAAGCAAGCAAGCAAGCAAGCAAGCAAGCAAGCAAGCAAGCTGCAAAACAGCACACAAACACTCAAACACTCAAACTCTCAAACAAAGCAGGAGATGCAGAAAAACACAAATCTCCCGGCCTAACTGCAAGACCTCCGGGGAGAAGTACACCACCACCAGCTTGAGGTGCGGCGTCGGGTGCTGAAAGAAGACCTCTCGGTTCGCAGGGTGGCCCGGGCCGCGGGTCAACCGGTCAACCCATTTTTAGGTCCGCGTCTGGTGCAGCGTTTCTTTTTTTTCTCTGTTGGGAGCCAAGTTGGAACTTCTAAAAATGGCTGTGGCTCAAAAAACCGGTGCGCAAACTGGAACCCTGGCAAGTGGAAACATGGACCAACACCTGCGTAACCCCTCCTGAATAATTTTGAGCCACACCCAAATCCACATTTGGAACGTCAAGAAGGTAAAGTGGTGATGCCGCCTTTGGTCACTGGGGCCTGGATGGTCGCGATTGCATGGTGGGTTACAAGGAAGGAAAGGGCCATCGGGGCCATCGGAACAATGGGCATTGTTGCAAGTCGATTTCGACCTGTTGAACGGCTGAGAGTTCGGTAACCAGAGTAAAATGTTCGGGGGTGATGGCTAGTGGTGGGAAGCAACTGTGGAAAAGGGTGCTACTGAAACTGATTGAATTCATTGCCAACACCAGAGTCTCTCCTGGTACCGCTGTGGATGGGTCACTGCGAAAAGTTGGAGGCACGACCACTCCGTACAGTGCGCACCGCATGTGCATTGTGTGTCCCCAAACACCCCGAGTGTAGATCTGCCCTCAACTTCGAA